ACCAATAAGTGTATACCCTCTTCATAATTTGACACAAAAACGCAGTTAGAAAGTTCCAGCAAAACCCTAGTCGTCGTAGTAAGTCTCAAAAGTATTTGTCGGGTGTTGAGAAACATGTTCGTCATGGTTGTATCCTAGGATTCAACAACACATTCAAACCTTGTCACACAATACGGGTGATGTATTATATTAAGGAAAGATATCAAATCTACACTCCTTGAATTCGTCTATTTCCTTAACGATTTCTTAAACTTTTTATATCCTTATATTATCGTGTTTATTGTTTTCTATTTTGTGATTTTCAATCAGGATTTTTGCGGTCATACTAAACTTTCTTTTTGTGGATCCATGGACCCCCTTTGGTCCTCTCATCCTTTATCTTTGTTAATCTGGCTACCGATCTTGGTATACCAACTCATTGGTGAGTGATTTAATTTTCACTGGGACTTGGATCATGCCCCATGCTCGATCAGAAAGGCTATTACAACTCCATATTTTTCTCATCTACTGACAACCCTCTCTTGGGAATGATACAAATGATTTGGAAAGTGGATGGAATTACACGGAAGCGTTTTAATTCAAAATAAATATGGCAGATGTTTGTCTAAAGAAGCAACCACTCGCTTGGTCGGCAGTGATTTGGAATTCTGCTATGGCTCCAAAGCATTCCATTATTACTTGGTTCTTCATGTTATATAACAGTCCTACTATGAACGGGCGTATATCTTGGAAAATGGATTTGGATATAACTTTTCTTCTCTGTGGTCAGTGTCAAGAATCAAGAAACCACCTGTTCATTCTATGTAGTTTCTCATCTTTGGTTTGGAAAAGATGTCTTCTAAAATTGGGATTGTCTTTTTTTTTTTTTTTTTTTTTTTTTGGAACACCAAAATTGGGATTGTCTAATATCCTTTCACGACTGAGGAAATTTTCTCAAAGGGTTTTCTAGTCTCTCTTTTGACAGGATTATTAAATTGGCAATCTACCAAGTTTTGCCATGAGAGCATTTATGAGATTTAGAAAAAATGGAATAGGTGTTATAACTTGGAAGCCACTTTACAGACCTCATTATCTCTGACTTTGTTCTTCGATTGTCTTGGAACAAAGCTGTAACACCCGTCACCTCTTATCTGGAGAATAGCGTGTCATCTCCGACGCGTCATCAAATAATAATGTGACACCCGTCTCCCTTTTTCTAGGGACGACGGGCCACGAGCAATATCTCATAACATAATAGCCCCAAAACCCAACTACACTCGCCCAAACTCAAATAAAAATCCAAATAGAAAATCCCAATAGCACCAATTCCGTCCAAATATCACCTTATTGCTTGTCTCACCTGAAATGGGAAGAAAGAGGGGTGAGCGACTGGGAGTCACTCAGTGAGGTATGGGTAGCTACCCCGAAGTCCGTAGACCCGGACATAGCACTCCAAATAAATATAAATTAATTCTAATGCATATAAAACACAGTACCTAAAGTACCCAAGCAAACAAACAATGGTCCTAGCGAGTCACACACCCGCTGCCCACGAACAGGCCAAAACGCTGGGATAGTGCCCAGTAACACCGCCCAAAGACGATTTATCGACCTAACGAACTACGACCCAGCCGGTCGACTGCAGCTGTCTGTAGCCCACAAACACCCGGCCATACAGAATTACGTCTATGTACCCGTCCCAAGCAATCCTAACTAAATGATTACGTTAAGCGAAGCAATGAATATTGAATCCTCTAACGCCCTAATTCCGGTTTAAGCAAACAACCTAATGACAAACTCGATTTCACGCAGACAGAACACAATAGAAATAAGTTATATTTATTTAAAGTTCTAAGTCGGTACCAATCGTTCGGAAGTAGACCCTCACCTTAGCAACTGGGGGAAAGTGGTCTATATGAACTCCAGCTACTTAAATAGATTCCAAATCTGAAATCAGATCGAAATTCTTAGTCAGATTGACCTTCGAACGGGCGAAAACGGGCGATTACGGAAAAGTAAACTTGCAGGTCAAAGTCAACCCGGTAAACCCTTGACCAAAAAATCAATTTGACCTAACCAATCGGTTTGACCTTAACCGATTTTGAATCCAATTGAACCAAAACCTAATCGATTTCAATCCGGTTTACCCTAACCAAAATTCAATTGATTTTAACCAACCGGTTTACCTTAACCAAATCACAATCGGATTGAATCGGGTCAAACCAGTCAACCAACCGGTTGACCGAGTCAACCGAGTTGACTCGCTGAGTTGACTCGGCCGAGTTGACCGAGTCACCGGCGAGTCACCGGCGACGACCACCGGCGGTGACGGTTGCCAGGCGGCAGAGCGGCGGCAGTCCGGCGGAGGAGGGACGGCGGAGCGGCGGCGGTCCGAGGGCGGAGCGTCGGCGGTCCGACGGCCGAGCGGCGGCGGTCTGGCGGCGGAGGGACGGCGTCGGATGGCGGCGGAGACGGCGTCGGATGCCGGCGGAGACGATTCCCGATGGCGGCGCGTGTTTTTCACGCCCATGCACGACCAAACTTCCAGAGGCGCGTGCGGCTTCGTCTGAGCTGCGATTGAGGTGTTTTTGGTGTCTACGGCTTCGTCTCGACGAGTAGAACACGGTGGTGGCCTTGCATGCAAGAGATTCTCAACGGTTCAGAAGTTATTGATGATTTACTAAAAGGAGAAAACAAAGCTTCAACTCACTGCGATTTCCGGTTATTTTGGCCGTGGACGGTGGTTATGAGCTCTGCCTGGTGCCGACGAGTGGTGGTCCGGACGAGCTCCGGTGATGGCTCAGAAACATGGGTTTCTCCATTTCTCCTCTCTCTCTCTCTCTCTCTCTCTCTCTCTCTCTCTCTCTCTCTCTCTCTAACTTCTGATTTTTCAACAAAAATGAGCTGATGGGGTGGGAGTTGGGT